CCAATTGGGCTGGTTCTCTGGTCGCAGTGAGCATCATAGTGACCAGTCGTTCCCGGTGGTTTTTGGCATTCTGGGTTGCTGGCTTTTTTATATATATAGATTAGTTTAATGAGAGAACTAGTATGATACACTAGGTTCAGTAGCCTCTCTTATCCATGGTTTCACTTTCTGCAGTTTCAGTTACCTGCAGTCAACTATGATCTGAAAATATTAAGCTGAAAATTTCAGAAATAAGCAATTCAAAAAATATCTTGAGAGACAGAGAGAAGTGAGAGAGACCACATCCACATAGCTTCTATTACAGTAACTATACTAATAATAGAGGAATATGCAAATTGCCCAGGGTGCTGTCATGTAATGACCGTTCAGCAGGCTGCACCCCTGCCCCCTGCTCAGGCAGCTGCGAGGCCCAGGGTAGGTAGGATAGGATAGGAGGGGATAAGAAAGGAGAGGGAGAGGAAGGCAGGCCTGCATGCAGACAGGCCAAGAGGATAAACAGAAATACAGGAAGAGAACAAGAAAAAGGTGCAGGAATGGAAAATTGAAGGAAACCCGGGGCTGCATGCAGGAGAGGGTGGCAACTGCAGGGGGCGCAGAGCAGCTGCACCCAGCAAGGGGTAGGGCACAGATGGTGTGGAGTGGGGAGCCCTGCCCAGATGCAAGAGGAGGGTGGTGGCCCCCAGCATGAGTTGCTGGGACAGAGGGGTGGATGGTCAGAGGCCTTCTGGGTGGAGGTGCTTGCAGTGTCCTGGCTGCCCGGGCCTTGGCCGCCCTTGCTGGGCCAGGCACCCCACACTGGGAGGGGAGGCCCAGCTTAGCTGGGTTGGAGTTGGACACTAAGGAGGGTACTGCTTTTGTCCTTGAAGGCTAGACCCTAAAGACACTGGCCAGGGTTAGGTTGGTGTTAAGTGTACTTTGTTGACTAGAAGATGGGATGTCCCGGGCAGGGAATGGGAGGAGGATGGCAGTAGGGAGGCCAGTGAAGGGGGATGGTGAAGGCCTGGCCAAGGCTGTCCAGGGCTGGGCCATAGGCTATGGGTTAACACCCCCCAAACGGAAGCTTTAATATAAAAGTGTGCTCAGGTGGGACTGGAAGTGGGTCCCAGAAAGGAAAGGGGTAGGTTTAAAAGAGAAACCAGTGAACATGGCGGGAGGGGGTGGGTAATAATAGGGAAGGAGAAAGGGAGGCAGGGTTCAGGCTCACAAGGAAAAGGCAAATGGCGGGGAGAGGGTGGGAGGAGTAAGAAGGAGACAGATATGGGAATGACGGGAGAGAAGGGAGGAGAGAGGGAGGGAGAGGGCCACAGGAGGTTCAAAGGGAAAGAGGGAAAGAAAGCAGGAAAGAAAAGGATGCTTAGAATGGGGTGAGGCCAGGAAAACAGTTAAATAAAAAGAAGAAACACAATGTGAGAGTGAAGGGAGTTTAAAAGGAGGAGTTAGTAAGAAAATTAAGTACAGGGTGATTTTAAAAAAAATGTAGTCAGACATCCTCTAAGGGCTCCCAAACTGTAAAAAGGGCACAGGCTTGACTGAGGACCCCTCCCTGCCCCATGCACGAATTTTGTGCAACGGGCCTCTAGTATTGTTATAATTGTTCTATTTATTCTTTATTATTAATAATCTCCATGCCTAATTTAATTAAACTTTATCATAGATATATATAGAAAAAAACATAGTATATATTTAGGTTCTGGTTTCAGGCATTCACGGGGGGGCGGGGGTGTCTTGGAACATATTGCCCATGGATAAGGGGGAACTACTGTATAAGAAAAATCCTTTTTGCTTGTTTGGTCATATGATCGCTTAGGCTTTTATATATATAGATATTATTTTCC